AATATCAAGGCAGAAAATCCCACATTATCTGAGTGTGGACTCAGGGCCCTTCCACACAGGCCTATATCCCAGAATATCAAGACAGAAAAATTCCACATCATCTGAGTGTGGACTCAGGGCCCTTCCACACAGCCCTATATCCCAGAATATCAAGGCAGAAAATCCACATTATCTGAGTGTGGACTCAGATCCCTTTCACACAGCCCTATATCCCAGAATATCAAGGCAGAAAATCCCACATTATCTGAGTGTGACTCAGGGCCCTTCCACACAGCCCTATATCCCAGAATATCAAGGCAGAAAATCCCACATTATCTGAGTGAATATCTGGGATATAGGGCTGTGTGGAAGGGCCCTTGGACTTCAACTCCCAGAATTAAGCAGCTGAGGAGGAAAAGGAAAGGGCCTGAGGCTGTTCAGAATTCTGGGAAGTTGAAGTTCAAAATCCCTTGTAGGAGGGCTCAAGGCTGCCTATGCCTGATACACATTGTTGCAGGAACACCTCAGCAAGCAAGAGACCAAAAGTGGCAGGCTAAAACCCAGCACCTCAATCGATGGCAGATACCAAATGAGAGACTCCTTTCCTCAACTCCCACCCAGGGCCTTTCCACACAGCCATATAACCCAGAATATCAAGACAGGAAATCCCACAATATCTGCTTTGAACTGGGATATATGGCAGTGTGGACTCAGATAACCCAGTTCAAAGCAGATATAGTGGGATTTCCTGCCTTGATATTCTGGGTTATGTGGCCGTGTGGAAGGGCCCTCAGGCATTTAATGAAGTTCTACAAGACTCCTTTTACTTCCACTCTTTTATACTCTAAAAAAAACTAATATAAGTATCTCTTTGGATATAAAGGTTACCTTGCTAAGTATAAGTGCCTTCTAGTTGCCTCCCAACTTGTTTCATAGGGTTTCTTTCAGCAAGAAATACTCAGAGGCAGTTTTACCAAATCCTTCCTCTGAAATTTAGCACACAACATCTGGTATTCCTTGAAGGTCTCCTATCTAAGTACTAACTGTGTCTGACCTTGCTTAACTTCAAGGGCCCTTCCACACAGCCATATAACCCAGAATATCAAGGCAGAAATCCCACAATATCTGTTTTGAACTGGGTTATCTGAGTCCACACTGCCGTATATTCCAGTTCAAAGCAGATAATGTGGGATTTTCCGCCTTGATATGTGGAAGGGGCCCAAGATAAGTCCAAGTCTAATGCATTTAGGATGCTTAGGTCCTATTATTTATTTCTCCTTAAATTTTTTGATGTGTGCATTTAAGTCCTTCCAATATACCAATGTTTCTCAACTTGAGGGTCAAGACCCGTGGGTGTCACAAGCGGGGTATCAGAGGGGTCACAAAGACCATCAGAAAACACAGTATTTTCTATTGGTCATGAGGGTTCTGTGTGGAAATTTTGGCCCAATTCTATCATTGGTGAGGTTCAGAATGCTCTTTGATTGTAGGTGAACTATAAATCCCAGCAAATAACTCCCAAATGTCAAGGTCTATTTTCCCCAAACTCCACCAATGTTCACTTTGGGCATATTGAGTATTCGTACCAAGTTTGGTCCAGGTCCATCATTGTTGGAGTCCATAGTGCTCCCTGGATATAGGTGAACTACAACTCCGAAACACAATGCCCACCAAACCTCTCCAGTATTTTCTGTTGGTCATGGGGGCTTTGTGTGCCAAGTTTGGTTCAATTTCATTATTGGTGGAATTCAGAATGCTCTTTGATTGGAGGTGAACTATAGATCCCAGCAACTACAACTCCCAAAATGACAAAATCAAACCCCTCCAACTCAACCAGTAATTTGGGCTTATCAGGTATTTGTGCCAAATTTGGTCCAGTGAATGAAAATATATCAGATATTTACATTAGAATTCATAACAGAAACATTACAATTATGAAGTAGCAATGAAAATAATGTTATGGCTGGGGGTCACCACAATATGAGAAACTGTATTAAGGGGTCGCGGCATTAGGAAGGTTGAGAACCACTGCAATCTATGGATATATTGCAACCCTAAGGTGATTTCTTAGCAAGATTGGTTCAGAGGAGGGTTGCTATTGCCTTCATCTGAAGCTAAGAGAGTGTAACTTGCCTCAAGAGCAGACAGGAGTTTTTCTTCCATGGGCCTTCTGCCGTCCAACACAGAAGTCCAATTGTGGTCGAACTCCTGAACTGAGTTGAAGCTATTTGTGAATTGTGGGCACTTTTTTGTTATATTTTGCTTCTGTAATATAAATGGTATTTAAATAATAAACAAAACCTTACCTTTTAAATTATTTTGAAACCAATGGGATTAAAGGCCTAGAACACAATAAAGAATGCAATCTAACAGGACCAGATCTTTGGGTCTTGATTTAAACATCTCAGTCTTTTTCTTGTGTGCTGATATTTACATCCTAATTACCTGCACTTGGAAGAGAATCCCAGGGAATTTGAGGAGGGAAGATAAAACTGCAATCCCTTTAAATATGATATTGCATACTAATATAAAATATGATATTGCATACTAATATACCTAGGTCCCACCATTCAAATAAAAATTTATATAGCATTTGAACTCAAATATGATATCTGGTAGATGCCCTGCTTTGAGAGGGTTGTGCTCAGCCTAGCAGATTTACTACAGTCTAAGTGTTGGTGGAAAAGAGATTTCTTTAAAAATTAATAATGATTACTAAAGATACTTGCATTTAAGCACCATACAGAAATGTTGCAGACTATATATTAAGCATTTCCTGGAATTTGGACCTGCTATCTGAATACCTCCCAGATAGAAAAAGGAATTGGACAACTTGGTGATATTCAAATGTTTTGAAACCCTGCTGTTGCCCATGTTGGCCAGCGCTGATTGAAGTCGGGTACATCAGACTGTGATACGCAGTCCTGAGACCATTTCACATTTTGGCCTTGGATAAGAATAAAGCTCTGTTACCAGAAGTGTGCAGCAACTTAATTACTGATCTTTCAATAAATTTCCCCAAAATTTGGATACTCACACTTCACCCAGGCTGGCACATGTTTCACTCTCTCCCTATCACTTGTAATACATGAGGATTAAAGTGGCCAAGTATTATAGACTGAATTGTGTTCTGAAGCTGTACTTCATAGAGGAGGAGAATAGAGAGGCTGAAATTAAATTGCTCAACTTTACAAATAGGATTTGGAAATGTATCTTATTGTTGGGATTTAATTCCAAACTGGAGAAACAAGATTACTATCAGCATATTAATTGCTTTCCATTTAGCTTATTGAATATTTGACAGCCATCCTTATTGTTATTTGAAATATTTTTTGTCATGATTGCTGTTTAGTACTAGTTCAAGAAAAAAATGTGTATTAAAACCTAAAGGTATATATTTGTGTGTGTGTGTGTGTGTGTTGAGAAAGTCTCATTCAGTTATATTGTGTCCAATTCTGGGCACCACAATTCAAGAGAGATATTGACAAGCTGGAATGTGTCCAGAGGAGGGCGACTAAAATGATCAAGGGTCTGGAGAACAAGCCCTATGAGGAGTCGGCTTAAGGAGCTGGGCATGTTTAGCCTGAAGAAGAGAAGGCTGAGAGGAGATATGATAGCCATGTATAAATATGTGAGAGGAAGCCACAGGAGGAGGGAGCAAGCTTGTTTTCTGCTTCCTTGGAGACTAGGATGCGGAACAATGGCTTCAAACTACAAGAGAGGAGATTCCATCTGAACATTAGGAAGAACTTCCTGACTGTGAGAGCCATTCAGCAGTGGAACTCTCTGCCCCGGAGTGTGGTGGAGGCTCCTTCTTTGGAAGCTTTTAAACAGAGGCTGGATGGCCATCTGTCAGGGGTGATTTGAATGCAATATTCCTGCTTCTTGGCAGGGGGTTGGACTGGATGGCCCATGAGGTCTCTTCCACCTCTTTGATTCTATGATTCTATGATTCTATGATTCTATAGCACTTTGAAACTACTGTAATTTCCATGGCTACATCCTACATAATCCTGGGATTTGTAGTTTGTGGTGGCATTTGACTTCTTTGGCCAAGAATTCTAAATACTTTATAAAACTACAAATCTCATGTTTCCATCAAATGGATTCATGGCAGTTAAAGTGAAAGAGACCTTTGAAAACATGAAAGAGGGCTGTGGTCCCAATCCATCAGAAGGTAAACAAACTCCGGTGAAATAGGAATTGCTATGCTTTTGTATGATTATTCTTCCCCTTTTCTGATTGCAAGGAAAATTTATGCCATGCTCATGATACCATGAAAAACAGTTTAAACACTTGCTTAGAATTCAATGACACTCAAAAGTCTTTGTCTAGATTGCATCCCATATGTATCCTCAGCACAGAAAATTCTGCTGCATTGCTCATTTGGTCATTTGGTTCTGTTAAAATTCTTGGGATTTAATTCCAAGGAATGGTTTGTACAATGGATCCAATTACGGCTATCCCAGTGCTGCTTTGTTCTCTATATATGCATATAAACACCTACACACACCAAGCTAGCACACACATTCACACAGCATATACATGAGTTGGTTTGAGTCTGTGTGTGTGTGTGTGTTGTGTTTAATTTAGGGACCATAAACTCAGCAGCTGCTGACTTTTTACAAGCGTGCATTGTTTGAAAATCACTTCCTCTCCAAGCCAGACATTTGAGGGTTTATAATTTAAACTACCAGGAAGAAGGAGAAAGAGCTGTTCAAAACTGTTGTTTGGGGAGTGTCATGGGAGGTGATAAATACCTAAGTTCCAAAAACTGGGTACTGAATTTAGAAAATGCAGAAAGCCAAGCCTCTGGATGGGCATGCATCTTCTGTAGTGTTTTCCTTATCCCACTGTCTCCAGAAAGCCCCTTTTGCAAGAGACTCACTCAGAAGGGCCAATGAGCATATTTTAGATTACGAAGGGAATAGCCAAAGTCAAATGGAATAGTTCATTGATGTGGCTTCAAAAGGATTCATGGTGCATTTTCTTTGACCATCTTCATCTCTCTCTCTCCTCAGTGAAAACCAGGACGAAAGACAAGTACCGGGTGGTCTACACAGATCACCAACGGCTGGAACTGGAGAAGGAGTTTCACTACAGTCGTTACATCACCATCCGGAGGAAAGCTGAACTGGCAGCCACTCTGGGATTATCAGAAAGACAGGTGTGAATTCTGCTGGTTCATTGCATTGTAACGTTTGGGGGCCAAAGTGTGGTATAGAGGGTTTGAATGTGGTTAGTGATGGTCTGAGTCTTGCATTGCGACCATGGAGACTAGGGTTTGAATCCCCACTTGGCCATGGAAGCCTGCTGGGTGACCTTGGGCAGGTCACATACTCTCAGCCTCAGAAGAAGGCAAATCTTGTCAAGAAAACCCCACCAATAAAGTCACAATAACTTGAAAATGACTGGTAAGCACACAAGCAAATACTAAATCTTATATCACTCTACAATGGCAAATGCCTTTGGAAATGTTAGGTTACTCTTAGGGTCATCTTAAGTCCAAAATGACTTGAAGGCACACAAAAACAATGAGTGATATAAGCTGGTTATTAGCTGACCCATCCTTTCCCAACCCAGGTTCTCCAGATGTTTTGGACTTCAGCTCCTATCAGTCCTTGCCAATTTGGCAAAAGATCAGAGATTCTGGGAGCTGTGATCTGTAACATGCAATGGGCAAAAAGTCAGGGAGGCTGAATTAGGCCAATGTGCTTGAGCTGAAAAAAGCTTCATGACTTTTAAAAATATATAACATAGGTCCATCAAAGTCCAAATTACAGTCTGCTCTTGGAATGAATTTTCATGATACTTAGACCATTGGCCCATCACAGTTTGGAAAGTTACCTACTTGGCTTATAGTTCCCTCAATCTCTCAATCAACATGTTACTTGCTATGTTGGGTTGGTGGGGTATTCTGGGAATTCTTCCAAATTGTTCCATGTATTTCAGAATTGGGAACCTGGAGGAGCTATCCAGGGCTTTCCAATCTTGCTTCCAGATAAAAAGGATTGAAGTTAGAATCTTCTGCACTGAAAATGTGTCCTCTGTTATTAAGCCCTGGATCGTCTTTCTAGGTAGATGTATGAAATAAAATAAAACCAATTTTGTCAGATAAAGATATTTGTTAGAGACCTAGGATTTAGCTGCAAGTCCTGGCCAAGTGGACACTATAAGGAAAATCTGGGTTTGTTGCAATGCAGTAAATGACTAGAAATGTTTGTCATACAGAAATTGTGAACACGAGCTTTCATTTTCATATGGGAGACTTTAAAATGTAATTCTACATTTAATTTTAATTTATAATAATTGAAAACACTGAGGCCTCTTCTACACTGCTATATAATCCAGTTTCTGATTCCAGAGTATCTGCTTGTAACTGGATTATATGGCAATGTAGATCCAGTCTGGCCCTTCCTATTTATAAAACTTAATTTTTGGAGCCCTCATAGCGCAATGTGTTAAATCCTTGTGCCAGCAGGACTGTTGACCGATATCAGTGGATTCAAATCTGGGGAGAGCTCCCTCTGTCAGCTCCAGCTCCCCATGAGAGAGGCCTCCCACAAAGATGCTAAAACATCAACACATCCGGGTAATTTCCTTGCGGACGACCAATTCTCTTACACCAGAACCAACTTACAGTTTCTCAAGTCATTCCTGACATGAAAAAACCCTTTAATTTTTGTCTGTGTGTATATTCTGAGCAAAGTATTCCATTCCACATTAAAGCCAACAAAAAAAAAACTCCTGATGTATGAGCAACTTTGTGAAAGACAAGGACATATCTATTTTAAAGGTGACTATATATTAGACATCAACTGAGAATTGAGGAATCTTGAAATTATTCCTCTGGACTTACACTTGAGAACTTTAAGCAAAAAATATTTGGACACTGGGTGTCTTTATGTAAAGCAGTGATTCCCAAACTCTAGTCCTCCTGGTGTTTTGTGTTTCAGAAGTTCTAGGTATTGACCAAAGTGGTTGTGGGGCTGAAGTCAAAACACCCAGAAGACTTGGGAATTGCTGGTCTAAAGCTTCAAGCAAGAGCCTTAGCCCAGAAATTATTTCTAATGTCAGGGTTCACAGCAAATTAAATTATGTTAATCAAGATGTTTGTGCCTTCATATATAATCAAAAATTAATTCCCCTTTATTACTGAACACAGCAATGATGGGCAATGTGTGGATCTCTCAAATGTTGGACTATGGCTCTTATTATTTCTAACTACTACTAGCCACTCTAGATAAAGCTAAATGAGATCTCAGATTCAAAAAATTCTGGAGAATGTTAAGTAGTCTGGTCCTGAACTATGAATATTGTTAATTTTTCCTCAGAGGATTTGGTTTCTGGGCAGAAATTTGAAAAGGAGAAGGATGTGTGTGTCCATGTACACATGCCGTCAAGTCTTCTGTTGACCCCATGGATTTCATGGGTTTTCTTAGCCAACCAATACTTGGCGTGGCTATTTCTTCCGAAATATAGATTGCACCACCAATTAATCATTTCCAGTCTCCCATTACAGTCCTAATCAGAGCTGACCCTACTAAGCTTCTAAGTTAATACAGGATCTGGTGCTTTTCAGATCCTGTATTATTGGAGGAATGTAATTTTAGGCACTATGGTCTGTCCCCCACCACATACTCTTCTTATCTCTTCTTCCATTTTCTTTTGTTCTAGAGTTCTCAATTTTCATAGGTAGGGTTTTTTTTTCCAGAGCACACTTGGCCAGCTACCAATGAGACCATCAGACTGTGTTCCAGAAACAAATGAAACTTAGTGCTTGGATGAAATCTTGAATTTAGTGCTTGCATGAACAATGGGCAATTAAAAAACAATGGGATGCCTTTAGATTTCATCCTGCACTCCCGTGGAAGGGACTTTCTATGATTCCATCTGTGTGGGGAATTTGTTACTGATGGTCTGCTTGACCACAGTCAGAAAACGCATTCTTTTCTTTATTATAGTAAGCTATCATAGAAAACAACAACAACAACATTTTATTTATATCCCATCCTTCTCCCCGAAGGAACTCGAGTGGATTACAGCATATAAACAGACACAGGCAAACATTCAATGCCTTGCTACAGTGAAATACAATGAAACACAAATAACGCAGACAAAGGCAAAGGCTTCTCCTTTCATTTCCAGCTTCTGGAGGTGGTTCTCATCTTTGGCTCGGGGAGAGGTGATCTTCTCCATTTTGAAGATGAGGAGCCTGCATTGTCCGTAGACATCTCCTAGTCGTGTGGTTGGCATGACTGCATGGGATGTCTTTTTGCCTTTCCCGCCGAGGTGGTACCTATTGATATCCACATTTGCATGTTTTCAAACTGCTAGGTTGGCAGGAGCTAGGGCCAACAACAGGAGCTCACTCCAACCCATGGATTTGAACTGCCAACCTTCAGGTCAGCAGTTCAGCAGCACAAAGATTTAACCCATTGCACCACCACGGCCTCTATAATGGAAAGGAATGGTTAAGAATGGATAAACAAGGAGTAAAAAATCCTTTATTAAAATCTAACCTCCTATACATAGTTCACCAGGTGAGCTACTATTCTTTCCTAGCCCCATTTTGTCTTATAGGCACACAAATGTCCTTGGTGAGTTTATTTCGTTGTAGCTGCAGTCATTGAAATAATATATATGACAAACTTTTAGCACCGCAACTACACATTTTCCAAACGCCGATACTGCAGGATTGGAAACTGTTGCACATTCCTTTGATCTCTATGGAATCTGTGGATTGTGCCCATATTTATATAGAGGTGTTTGGAACAAACATCTTAAGTCCAAGTGTGCAAGTTAATCCAGTTTGAATAATGGTTTGTTGGACTGCTTTGTGTACCTTCATGTTCAGCAAGGTGTTTGTTTATCCCACTCCAGTTATCAGTAGAGACATTCTGGCACTTGCCTTTTCTCAAGCTCTTGCAAAATCCTCGCACCTTAGTTCTCAAAGTCCAAGAGGCATGCATTTCTGACATTTGAATACCGCCCCTGTTCCGGGTGTCCTTGAGTTTCCTGCAAAGGCAGGATTAGTTCTGAGCCCAGCTCCTACGTAAATAATGCCTTTGCTCTTTCCCCCTCTCACTTATCATCTTAATATTTCCTGCATTGATTTCTATACTCACAAAAACTACACAGAATGTTGTCTCTTGTCTGTCTTTCTGCTACTATTACTGTATTATACACACACACACACACACACACACACACACACACAGAGGGAGGGAGGGAGAGGGGTGCTTTGTCTTCCCAGTTCTATCTTCCAGAATTTTTCATTAGTCTCCCAACTTCTGAGTATCTGCATACTCTTCAAGTAAAAAGAAAAAGAAAAACTTCCCTCTGATGTTGGTGAGGCTTGGGAATGCTCAATCAAGCAGGTCCCTCACTTCTATGGGAGCCCCCGGTGGCGCAGTGGGTTAAATCCAGGTTGCAGGTTCAAATCCGGGGAGAGGCGGATGGGCTCCCTCTATCAGCTCCAGCTCCTCATGTGGGGACATGAGAGAAGCCTCCCACAAGGATGATAAAAACATCATCTGCGTGTCCCCTGGGCAACGTTATTGCAGACGGCCAATTCTCTCACACCAGAAGCGACTTGCAGTTTCTCAAGTCGCTCCTGACACGACAAAAAAAATGGGAAAGAACCTTCAATCAGATATTCTTTGAGTGGTTTAGGAACAAGCAGAATCAGTCTAGTCAAAATATTTGTTTGCACTGTGACCAGTATCCATAGAAAATCCATTAGCAGGATAGTGGAAAAAATATTTCTTGTTCATAGTCCTTGTAACTGATATTCAGAGGTTTTCAGGGATTGTCTTAGTATTGAAATGTTGGACCCGCTCTAAACATTGAATTCTACAACCTGAAGGATCTCTGGTTTGGAAAGGTGGACATAGACAAAGAGGGAGGTGGGCTGCTCTTGATGGGCTGATGGCTTGGTTTAGTAGGAGTTAGCTTCCACAGCTGAATGTGCATTCTCTGTGATTTATCATCTATCTTCGAGAACAAGCCAAGTTTTTCACCTGTTTTTTGGGCTGGAAAAGCCCCCCTCAGCTTATACTCGGGTCAAGGTTATTTATTATTTTACTTTATTATTATTATTATTATTATTATTATTATTATTATTATTATTTCATGTATTATTTTACTCTATTATTATTATATTTACATTATTTTACACTATTATTATTGCAGTTATTATTTTACTCTATTATTATTATTATTAAGTTTATTACATTTATCATTTTACTCTATTATTATTACATGTATTACTTTACTTTATTATTGTTGTTATTATTACATTTATTATTTCACTCTATTATTATTGCATTTATTATTTTACTCTCATTATTATTGGAAGGATATGTAAGCACATTTACATTGAAGGTTAGAATAATGATTTAATCAAAGTTGGAAAGTCATATCTTAAATTACAGCTTTATGTAAATATTAAAAAAACATTTAACCTACTGATGCCTCAGTTAATGTAATTTGATTGGTATCTATTTTTATTTTGGAATTTACCAGCAGCTGATGCATTTCCCACCCTTGGTTTATAATCCAGTCAATACATTTTCCCAGTTTTTTTGTGGCAAAATTAGATACCTCAGCTTATATTTGGGTCGGCTTATACTCGAGTATATACGGGTAAATAAATACATGTATTGCATGATATACTTATCTAAATTTTGTTAGATATTTTGAAAAAGGCAAATATTATTCCATTAAGATATATTGTGTTAATATGTACATAGCCGTTACCTGGTTGAGATTGTAAAATTACCCTTTTTGACCTACAATGCAAGAATCCACCAGCAGACATGGCCCGTAGTCATGCTCGCAGGGGCGGCTCAACCATTACGCAAAGTAAGCATTTGCAGTATAGTTGATTTTGCCCAGGAGCGCTCTTGAGGCGCTCTTGGGGGAAAATAGACCTTGACATATGCGAGTTGTAGTTACTGGGATGTATAGTTCACCTACAATCAAAGAGCATTCTGGACTCCACCAATGATGGAATTGAACCAAATATGGCACACAGAACTCCCACAATGAACAGAAAATATATATCAGTGATTAGTTGGGGTGGGGTTGGGGGGCAAAATACTGTTTGCTTACCATTGAAAATTACCTAGGGCCGCCTCTGCATGCTCACTTGTGGATTCTGGACTTATGGATGTTCGATTTCCCCAGAAAAATTAAAGTCTAAATTGATGGTTCTATTCATACTTAACAGTGTAGTTTATGGATTCAGCTTGTTGAAGGCTTTCATGGCCAGAATCACTGGGTTGCTGTGAGTTTTCTGGGCTGTATGCCCATGTTCCAGAAGCAGTCTCTCCTGACATTTCACCCACATCTATGGCAGACATCCTCAGAAGTTGAGAGGTTTGTTGGAAACTAGGCAAGTAGAGCTTATATATCTGTGGAATGTCTAGGGTGGGAGAAAGAACTCTTGTCTGCTTGAGGCAAGTGTGAATGTTGCAATTGACCACCTTGATTAGAATAATAGAATCATAGAGTTGGAAGAGGCCTCATGGGCCATCCAGTCCAACCCCCTGCCAAGAAGCAGGAAAATTGCATTCAAAGCACCTCATCTCCTGCATCTATGGCAGGCATCCTCAGTGGTTGTGAGGTCTGTTGGAAACTAGGGAAGTGAAGACATTCCACAGATATATAAAACCCACTTGCCTAGTTTCCAAAAGACTTCAAAACCTCTGAGGATGCCTGCCATAGATGTGGGTGAAATGTCAGGAGAGAATGCTTCTGGGACATGGCCATACAGCCTGGAAAAAAGAAAGCCATTTGGTTCAGCTTTTCATCTAGTGGTTTGAAATTCTCTTGCCCACCCCACTACATTTGTTCTACAATAAATTGGATACATGTCCACACTTTTGAGCATATGTGTAATTATCATGTTTGCCCCTCCATTTGTACTTCAGGTGAACATTCTACTTTTATTATGTTTTAACTCTTGCATGTGACAGTTAAATATATATGTGATTAAAGCTTAATTAAGTTCTCTTCATTAACTGTAAACCCGAATAATTTATTTATTCACACACACACACACACATATAGAGAGAGAGAGAGAGAGCCCAGCGGTGCAGTGGATTAAGCCAGTGAACTGCTGAACTTGCTGACCGCAAGGTCGGAAATTTGAATCTGGGGAGAAGTGTGAGCTCCTGCTGTTAGCCCCAGCTTCTGTCAACCTAGCATTTGAAAACATGCAAATGTGAGTAGATCAATAGGTACCGCTTTGGCGGGAAGGTAACGGTGCTCCATGCAGTCATGCTGGCCATATGACCTTGGAGGCATCTATGAACAATGCTAGCTCTTCAGCTTAGAAATAGAGATGAGCACCACTCCCCAGAGTCTGACACGGCCAGACTTAATGTCAAGGGGAAAACTTTACACATGCGTGCGCGCACACACACACACACATATACTTGTCCTAGGAGTAAAAAGAGGAGAATCAGAAATTTTATGTTGACTGTGCTAAACAAAAGTTTTTCTTTCCAACCTGGAGAACTTGTTTGCTCAGAACTCAGCCAAGGAGTGGAATCAGAGCTTGAAAATGCCACTATCTCTCACGTAGTATGCATGATCACGTAGTATTCATTGTCACATGCTAGCTGGGGGATTCTGGATGTTTTAGTCCACCCTCCATTTCCTAAATTTTTAGTGGAGGAAGTATGCTGGAACAGATACCATAGGACAAGTTTAGTCTCAGTGCAGAGTTTTCAAAACGTTCGAATAGACTTACCTAACACACTCTTATTGAAATGGATGTGACTTGAAAGCATCTCATATACTTCTATATTTGTAATGAAAAACAATAAGACTTATCTCACCCAGGATAATGGTACAATGTACTAAGAAGGTGTGAACTTCATGCTACCAATAAGATGATCATTTCCATAACCAGAAAGTTTGACCCATCCCTTCCTTCCTCTAAAACCGTGTTATCTCTTTGCTTTGAAGATGAGAGCTTAGATTCTCAGGAATTTATGAGGAGCCCACCCTCTTTCTACACATTTCTATTGCTTGTCCTTTTTCCGGTGGAGAGGGGGACAAGGTAATTGATGGTCATGCAGCCCAATCTGCTGCATGTTTACTCAAAGTAAGTGTTGCTGGACTTCACGGCTCCTATTAATAAGCAAGCATAGGCAGCAATCTTTCCTAGGCTCTTGCTTTTTGAATGTGGCCGACAACAGGCTCCTATTATTCTGAGCTGGATAAACCATTATTTGTGGGTCACACTAAGTTCTTGTCCAAGAAATCTGCAGGGCATCAGGTTCACCAACATTGACACCTAAATTAAAAAAAATTAGAGTGAGAAATCTTCAGCTTCCCAGTTGTTTTTCATTAAACTCCCCACAGTCTCAGTCAAGGAAGGCAACGATAAAATTCAGAAAAGGCTGGAGTCCCAAACATCCTAATAAGTACAGACTAATTGATATATATTCCAATTACATGCTACCTGTTCATGCCCAGCATTATTATTTTTTTAATTTTTAATTATTGCATTTGGCCCAGCCATTGGTTTTTAAATGCGTTGTGTTATTGTTATTGTTTTTGCTATTTTGCTATGAGTTTTGTATTGTTTTTGTATTGTTGCTGTTATTGTTATTGTTGTGTTTAGGCTCGGCCTCGTGTAAGCCGCACCGAGTCCCTCGGGAGATGGTAGCGGGGTACAAATAAAATCTTATCATTATTATTATTATTATTTAAATTGTTTTCATTCTACAAATTGGTTAATTGCTTATAAAATAACACACACACACATCTCTCTATATATGTATTTACAGGAAAATAGAAGGGGGAAAGCTTAGCAGCTATTAAGATTAGCATGCTTTTTAAAATTTTTGCATGTGCTTTTGATGATATAAATCCACCTCTTTTGTTGCAGTACATATAACTGGTTTTGAACATTTTACATTTTCGCTCCAGAATTGGAAAAAAGTGGGATACAAACTAATCTAGTCATTATGATTCAGTTCAATTGAACCACCTCGAAGCAAATTGGGAAGGGGAATTGTGTTCTGGATTCTTGGATAGAAGCTGAAACATTTGATCATTCAGAATTTGGTTAGGAAAACCTGATGATGATGATGATGATGATGATGATAGCACTTGGTATCAGTAGAGTGCTGATTGGCTAGGCTGCTTATATGGGCTACAAATTTCACAATCCCCTAATCATAGTGTGGTCTGGGTATTATGGGAGCTGCTGTAGTAATTTGAGTGACTTGGGCATCTCTCATTCATAGAGACATCATAGGCTGAAGTTAACTTGACAGCAGTGAACAATAACATATTACAACATGGTGTAGTGGTTTGAGAGTTGGAATATTATTAATAATAATAATACTTCATTTATATTCTGCTTCACCTCCCCGAGGGGACTCAGCATGGATTACAGAATACATATATGGCAAACATTCAATGCTGTTATACAATTAACAACAAATACAGATAGTACATAGATAGAGGCAAGGCTTCCCTTTTTTTTAATCGCTGGCATCTGGAGGTTGTGCTTGACCCAGCCATGGGGAGGTGCTGTTGTTCCATTTTTCCATGCTGAGGAGCCTGCTGTCTGCGAATGCCTTCCTGGTTGAATTGCTAGCATGTTTTTCAGGGGCGCCTTTTACCTCCCCACTGAAGCAGTACCTATTTATCTACTCACATTGCTATTTTCGAACTGCTAGGTAAGAAGAATCTAGGGCTGACAGCGGGAGCTCATCCCAACCCATGGCTTGAACTGACAACCTTCTGGTCGACAAGATTTTCTGTAGCTGGTGGTTTAACCTAGTGTGCTACAACCCCAAAGACCATGGTTTGATTCTGTGCTTGGTCTTGGAAATTCACTGGGTGGCTTTGGATAAGTCATATACTCTCGGCCCTAGAAAACCCGGTGATAGGGTCACTTAAATACTGCCACAAGTTAGAAGCGATTTCAAAAATGCATTATATCAAAAACTGATTTTTTTTAAGGTTTTCGCATCATTGATATGAACACAACGTGATGTTAGCTAAGAGTTTTATCTAGTTATTCTAACTCTCTGCTTGACCTGAACTTCCTTTATATTCCTCTTTTCCCCACAGGTAAAAATCTGGTTTCAGAACCGGCGGGCCAAGGAAAGGAAGATCAATAAGAAGAAGATGCAGCAATCCCAGGCAGCTGGTGTGCACAGTGGCTCTGAGCCCATGAGCCCTGTCTCCTCCATGCAGACGGGGACCAATGGCCCTGTTGTGCCCAACGGAGGCGTGTTGGGCACAACAGGCTTAGTATCACCTCCCACTGCACAATGACAGCACCTGAAAGAAAAAAACTTGGAAGTTCCACGGTCTTTATTACAGAGGAGTTACACACACGTGTGTGTGTACACTCGTGCATATACCAGCCCTCAGTGGGAAAGACCACTGGCTCATTGACAGTTGATGTGGATAAGCGTTGGCTCTCCTTCCCCATCTGTGCACTACAATGGACTTTGCTAAGCCGCACCACACTCCAGTTTGTGTGTGTGCATGAATGAATGTGTGTGTTTTATTTTTGCTGCACAATTTGTACAAAATATACTGTGAATTACCTGAATTCTATTAGGGGAGAAGGAAGGGAGATGTTGATTTTCCTTAATTTGCTTCATGTAATATTATTATTAATATTTCTATTTTTCTCCATGACACAATAGAGATGGCTTGTCACTGACACTTCTCTTTGCAATGGAAATGCCACATCTCAGGGAATTTGGGCCTGGATTTCCTTTTGTTGTTTGTTTGTTGTTCCTTGGTTTGTGTGTTTTTTTATTACAACTGTTGTTGGGGTAATGATAAATGTCTGAATGAAAAAAGAGAGGAAACCCAAAGAAAGAAAAATTAAAAAAAGATTACTTTGTTTTCCTGGTGCCTTCAATAGATTCAAAAAGTATCATCTTTCTTTACAGATCATAAATACAAGAAGCTGCTGAAATGTTCCAAAGCAAATAGCTTGTTTTATTTTTGTTATAAAATGTATCTACAGTATTTATATTCTGTCCTTCTCATCCCGAAGGGGACTCAGAGCAGATCACAGAACACATATACGGCAAACATTCAATGTCATTATACAATGACAAGACAGACAACTGTACATAGTACTATATATAGACTTTTCCCATCTTCAGCATCTTGGAGACTGTGCTTGGTTCCAGCCAAGGGGGGGGGGGGAGCTGTCACTCCATCTTTCCTGCAGAAAATCTTTGTTCGTAAACTTCCTCCTTGATCGAATTGCTGGCATTTTTCTGAGATTTCCTTATGGGTGCCTAAATACCTCCCCGCTTTAAAGTGGTACCTATTTATCTATTCACAATTGCTGTTTTCGATCTGCCAGGTAGGCAGGAGCTCGGCTCAAGACCAGAAGCTCACCCTGACCCAGGCTTCAAACTGTCAACCTTCCAGTTGGCAAGATTTACTGCACCTAGCAGTTAACCTGCTGTGCTAAAGCCCAACAGAGCACACAATGCAATATGGGTGACCATCCACCTGTCTTTATGCATGTGCATGTCATAGCTTGGAAAAGATACTGTTTTGGACCAAATCTCAGCAGCTATGTTGGCTAGGTTATTCTAGGAATAGCAGTCCTAACTTTTCCAAGATCTGGGGATATATAAATCAGTACGTCTGAAATTTGAAATTCAGATCATGCAAAGTTGACAAATAGAAAAGATCTGTTAAAAAGTTTGAGCTCTATCTAAATGTCAAATGGAACTGCTGGCTTCAGTTCCTTGAGTCATGTGTTTCTCTGCAAAATAAGCATAATAATAATAATAATAATAATAATAATAATAATAATAATAATATACTTTTTTTATATTCTGTCCTATCTCCTAAAGGGGACTCAGAGTGGATTACAGTACACATATAGCAAACATTCAATGCAGCTATACAATTAATAAAGACAGACAGTACATAAATAGAGGTAAAGGTTTCCCATCTTTTTCAATCTCCAGCATCTAGAGGCTGTGCTCAACTCTGGCAATTTGGGGTGGTGGTGGTGGTGGTGCTGTCATGCCATCTTCCATGCTGAGGAGCTTTGTTGTCCTTAGACACTCTCTGGATTGAATCGCCAGCACATTCGTATGGGCACCTTTTATCCCTCCCCCCACCGCCGCCAAAGCAGTATCTATTTATCTACTCACACTGCTGGGCTGACGGTGGGAGCTCACCTCAATCCAGACTTGAACTGTTGACCTTTTCATTGGTGGTTTAAATCACTGTGCTAAAAAGCATATTGTCCATATTTATAAAGTACATGGTCCATACATGTCTCCCTTATGAATTGCCGATTTCCCAAAATATGACTTTTTTGATATTTTATTCATTCAGTATTAAAGGGGGGGAAAATCTTCTATCAAATAGGGGAAACCCTTTATAATAAGGGACATTTGCCAATCCTATAAGGAACTCCTGGCAACCCTATCATACAAAGATACCAGTTTGACACCACTTAAATATTCCAGATACCAACATATCTGGGATCTGTAATTTGGTGAAACATTTAGCCTCCAGGTGTTTTGGACTTAAGTGGCTGAGGGGGGAAAGGAAGGGGCCTGAGGCTGTTAGGAATCGTGGGAGTTGAAGTCCAGAACATCTGGAGGGCCCAAGTTTTCCCATGCTTGATTTAGACAGACCAAAAATTCTAAGTACACTAAATGACAAATCCCATTATTCTTTAGAATGTAATCATGATGAAGTACTACAAAGCTGATACACAACTGACCCATCCACATCTTGAAAATATTATTTTTAAAAATCTGAAAAACCAGCCTTGATTTTTGCTATTTTACACAAGGAACAGAAATTTTATTATGCCATTGCATATAATGGTACCTGAGCACCCATGTATTTGGGGCCTAGAATATGCTAAGGAGATTGGATTCAACGGAATGTACTACTACAACAGGGATGGGAATCATGTAAACCTCCAGATGTTGTTAGATTGCAATCCTAGCACCCTTCCAGCATAACCAATGGTGAGGAATGTAGTCCAACTAAATTTGGAAGGATGTATTATTCTCAACCTTTTCTACAAAATACCAATTACAAGCTCGAGCTCATTTGTGCTGATGGACCACATCTTTGCAAATGTGCTTGCTACATTTTATAGCTCTTAAAATGTAGCATTCCATCCATCTATGTATTTCTTAGATTAATTATTTAATTTTCAAAAGTCTAAACCACTCAACAGTGGTGTGGAATAGTTGCAATTTGCATCAGTGGAAAGACAACATAGGGTGCTTCTACACTGTACTATTAATTCAGTTTGACATCACTTTACATACATGGTTCAATGCTGAGGAATCATGGGAGTGGTAGTCTTTTTCTTTCTCTGCCAAAGAGAGCTGGTGCCTCACCAAACTGCAAATCCCATGATCTCATAACATTGAGCCATGGCATGTAAAGTGGTGTCAAATTTTGTTAATTCTACAGTGTAGAATGCACACCTAGACTGATGAAACCATGGAACTTCAGAGTATATACTGTCCAACTGGAAAATGCCCTAAGGGAAATCTACAATAACAGAAACTCAAAATGTTGTTATTGTGCTTCATAGTCAATCAACCTCGCCAGGTCACTCTGAGTCCCACTCTCATGAGAAAAGACAGAAGAATTTGCTGCATTCACTCTCTCCTTAACAAATTATTTCCTCCACTTTGCCAGTCCTAGCTTGAGGAAAGGTTATGCAAAACTTTGTTGCCTAACTTTGCCTGGAGGGATGGTTTGGAATATGCAACAATTTTTTGCATTTGGGTAGGTGATTTGCCTCACTATCTTTTGACACCAAGGTTGGGCAAAAGGTAGCTTTCCTGGTAAATCTCTGGTTGCCTTGTAGCAGATTTGCAAAGATTTCTGATTTCCAGTTGTTTATCAAATACAGCAACATATGTTCTTCACTCATTCCATTGAAATTATGGTCATCCAAATAAATTCCTGGACTCCAAATACTCAATTTCCAGGTATGTACATTTTGCACTGGGCTCCTGTTCAGGATCTAGTAGAAGACTGATAACATCCTACTTCTCTGCTTTACATTGAGCCTTGCATCAAAGACAAAGGGAGATATTTAAATATGTCTATTAACCTGAGAAGAAAGAATGAAGTTACCAAACTACAACAAACCAACTTGATAGATCTTTGATATTGGTTTTGCTCTAGAACCTGAGCAAAGTTTGCAAAATTCTGTTGTAGCTACTAGATATTTGAAACCTAGTGTGAAACAATCAGGGCCAGTTAACACCTCCCAATAAAGGATTCCCCCAGGCAGAAAGCAGTCAGACTTTAAAGCTGCAAGGCTATTCAATGCTAATCAAGATTGCCAATTACAACATTCACCCTTGCCTCAAGCAGACAAGAGTTCTTTCTCCCACCCTGGACATTCCACAGATATATAAACTTCACTTGCCTAGTCTCCAACAGATCTCACAACCTTTGAGGATGCCTTCCACAAATGTGGGTGCAACATCAGGAGAGAATGCTTCTGGGACATGGTTATACAGCCCAGAAAAACTCAGGGCAACCCAGTGATTCCAGCCATGAAAGCCTCTGACAACACCTAGTGGGAAAATTGAGTTCAAACTTGGAGATGGATTCAATAAGAAAATGCTACCCTTGGGCAGGTGCAGGGTGCCACTGGACATCACATGGTCCTTGGCTTTAAAATAGGGCTGACATTTGTCCCACTCTATGAAAGACAAGCAGAGCTTGTGAAAGTTACTTTTGGACTACAACTTCTAAGGTGTATCTACACTTTAGAATTAATGCGGTTTGACACCACCTTGGCTCAATGCTATGGAATCCCGGGCTTCTGTAGTTTGGAGAGACACCAGCCTTCTTTGGCATTGAAGGCTAAAAACCTTGTAAAACTACAGGTCCTATGATATAATAGTACTGAGCCATGACAAGTTGTGGTGTCAAACTGCCTTAATGCTATAGTGTAAATCAGGCCCGTAGCCAGGATTTCAATTCGGGGGGGGGGGGCTGAGTTGGGGGGGGGGGGGGGCTGAGTCTGAGTGAAAGAGGATCTACCCTAGCAAACCTTTTGTATTGTTACCCCAATACCCCCATGCATATGGGATATATTGAGTATGGTGATCAGATCGACCGAGGAGAGCAGACGCACTTGAGTGGAGCTCCGCATGACAACAGTAAGATAACTTATACAGACCTAAATGCCTTTCCTTTCAACAAAATAATTTGAATGCTGGACTAGACCAAACACTCTGTGTTTCTGATAAGCTAATAAGCCCAGTAGCAACAACATGAGGAGAAAGAAA